AGTCAACTATACTCCCTAGTTGAAAATTTTAAGCCACCCTACCCTGTACAACAAAGATATTTAACAAGAAGATTTAAGGCTAGTTATAACAAAATAGAAAAAATATACAAACTTTAATTTGTAATTCAAACCAAACATTTTTTTACATTTTTAAATGGTTTCGCTTTTATTTTCGGATTAATGACCAATAAATTAATTCTACCACAGGAATTTACACAAAGACAAAAAAATATCTTGGCCAATGTTTGGAAGACTTTATTAATGTTTTATACTGTAAAATATAATTAAAGTTAAATTAAAGAGAAAACGAGTTATTAAATCTTAGATTGTAAGAGAGAATTTTATACTATTTCACGTGTATTCGGTTTATTGTAATGAAATAAATGTAAGGAATAAGATTACGTCGAAATTAATCTTAGAAATAATACAAAGTATTATGTGTCTACCTAAAAAACTATCATGATTATGAATTAAAACATACTTAACTTGTTGAATATTTTAAGATTAAAGATTACATTATAAACGCGAAATTTGGTTTAAGTCAGGTGATTTTACCTGAAGCACTGTTCTGAAGTTTTCGATTTATTAAATTTTCCAATGATGGAATATAAAAACATAGAGTTTCAGTGAAACTGCGAAATCGAACCATTAATATATAGTCAATAATATTTTACATGTATTTTAACAACTTTCAATTATCTGAAAAATATATAGCCAATAAGAAATACTAGATTCAATTAAATAATTTCCAATTAGCGGATAAAAGCTCACGATCGAGGGGTTGTAAAATGTGTAAACAAGAATTATTAAACCGAATATCAACGCTGAGGTTCTTGAGAAGGACAATAACACAGGGATTTAAAACATATGGGGAATGCCCACATCAACAAACCTGCTACTTTATTTAGGAGCACCTAACGAGGACAGTCAGAGTTTTTTGTGATGGAAAATTGTCAGAGAGCATCTAATGTGCCCTGAAGGTACCCAATAAGTGCTCTCCATTAGGTGCTCCTCAGAGAGCATCTATTGGGCGTTGTAAGCTAGAAAGAGCATTTAATGGGCGCTGAATTAAGATATCATATATATAAATAAATAATATTATCTTAATTGAGCGCCCAGAGGAAAATTCTCTTAAGAAAAAGACAGAGGCAGAGAGGACTCGACTATGAAGATCGAAAAGGAAAAGTGCACAGAAAAAGAACAATACAAGGACAGTGTAAAGAAACTTTTAAATTTGAATGTAGGAAAAACATCAAGAGATGATTGCAATTCAATACACAAACAATTTTGGAGTCTCAGTGACAATGGGAAAACCACTTTTATAGTTAATTTGTAGATAGGCACACTAAAAAGCGATCTCAAACAGGAAGAAATAATAACAAAAAGTACTCATATTTTTATTATCTTGGAACAGAATCAGAAACTCGCCTCAGGGTTTGTGAGGAATTTTTTTTCAAAACCCTTAATATTTGTCAGAGGAGGATTTATTGGTTTTTTGAACATGCATATGATGAACAAACTGGTATTGGCAGATCGCCTGTGAAGAGAAGTAAAACCAAGAGTCATATTGGAAATGACAGGAAGGATGAGGTGCGACAACAAATAAGCTCATTTAACAGGGTTCCGTCACACTACTGTAGAAAAGACGGTAGTAAGGAGTACCACGGACTATATCACACTAGTGCCAATAAAAACCAGATGATGCTGTTTTTGTGGATTTTTTAGTTCTTCTAAGAACTTTTGATGAAATTGAAAACAAATATCTAGTACCAGGCCATTCTTACCTTTAATGTGATCGTGATTTCGCTCAAATTGAAAAAAAGAAAATAATTCAAAAATGTGAATTACTACTGGACATAGTACGCTGACTTGTTGGTGCCTCCGCCAAAAGGCCGTTTTTAACTACTTTGATGGATGAAGATGACTTCCTTTCTAGACTTTAGTTTTGCTTCCAAATACCTCCTCACCACGAAAAAGTAGAAAATTTCAAAGCTGCAGTGGGTAAAAATTGTCAAAAATAACCCAACCGTTATTCATTTCAAAAAGTCTTTCAGTAAAATTGGGCCTTGGACCAAAGTAAACGTCTTCTAAAAATGTGTTAAAAATGAAGAAATAAATCGACAAGGGCTTCAAAAACTGCAAACCACCGAAAGATTGAAAAATGAAAATAAAGAAGACCTAAAGAAAATGATTGCCTATCCAAAGAAAGAAAATAAAGAATTGGTTTCTTAAAACATTATAATAATGAATTTTATTAAAATGACTTGAACAGAACGCTTTTAACAATGAAGTTTTTCTGTTCATAGAATACAATTATTTTATTTTATAAACAGATCTATTTTTTATGAGTAACCACCGTGCTGCGCTCACATTGGACCTGCCTCTCATGCAAGGCCATGTACAATCTAGGAAACTCGGGCGATTAGCCTTCAGGTTGTTGACTTTGTCGCGTTGTCGCTGTTGCCCGAACCCATGTAAGCTGCTAAAAAAAAAAAAAAAAAAAAAAAAAAAAACACGAGGACCAAAGACACCTGTCAAGTGTGTGATAATTTAATTACTTTCAGTGGCAACTGATGAAGAAAAGCAAATAATCCAAACTGAGAAGGAACTGCATTTAAGAAAAACTCAAAAGGCTAGAGAAAGTTTAAAAGAAGACAAGATCCATGCTCTGAAGACTACTTACTACGTGTTAACCTTCGACCTCCAGAAAGCTTTGGCTTTTCCGAAACTCTCGTCATCAGTAGCAGACCACAAACGAAACCTGTATATTTATAATTTTGGTGTACATGTTTCTAACGAAAACAAATCTTACATGTATGTATGGCCAGAAACTGAGGGATCAAGAGGATCACAGGAAGTCAGCTCTAGTTCGATAAAACACCTATCTGGTCATGCCAGCAATGCATAACATGTTGTCATGTACTCTGACTCCTGTGGCGGGCAAAACCGCAATGTCAAAGTGGCCCTATTTTTAATGAAAAACCTTCAAACTGAAAGTGGATGCACTGAAATTATTGATTTGAAGTTTCTTGTGCCCGGACGCAGGTATCTCCCAAATAATTCATATTTTTCATTTATCGAAAAAAGAGCCAAGATTACCAATATCTTTTCTCCAAGGGATTAGTACGACATAATTCTCAGCTGCAGGAAAACAGACAAGTATTTCCTAACAGAAATGAACCACGATGACTTCTTTTCGACAGAGACCTTGGAAAAGTCTGTTACCAACAGAAAAAAGACTGTCAACGGCGAACCAGTCAACTGGCTATGAGGTGGATCCAAATTGAGAGGGCTGAACCATTTGCATCTAAGTACAAATCCACTTTCATGTCAGAGATACCATTTGCAACGGTAAACATAAGGAAGACAAATGAAAACGGACGACCTTTGGCGACCCTTGCTGGTGTTCAAACCTCAATGCATTTTCAACACATTTATTTAAAATGACATGATCTACTTTATTAAAAACTTATTACAAGCATTAAGTTATAAAATTTTGTATTTTATTAGGATATAATTCTGAATAACTCTAACAGTTCTGAATAATTGCATTAACAGTTTTAAAACATGAATTCTTGTGATGACTGACTTTGCAGTTTTTGGAATTTTTTTTTTCTTTGCTAACGACTTATAGCATTTTACTAGTATCACATAAAAGTTATTTATACAACTGTTATAAATCTGGTTTGTATCATAAGATTGGGAACTCAATTAACGTAGATTTTCCAATAACAATACTTGTAGAATCCGCTGTGTGATTTTTGCTAGGTTTGTATCCAACATATTTGGGGGGGGGGGGGGGGTGTATACTCACACGTACAAATAATTTATTTCTTGTATAAATTATGAGGTTTTATTTCAGAGAAAACAAAACTTATCTTAACGTCACTGCTAGCATCTCTTGTGGAGAAATACAGTGTCTCATGTACGTGTCTTGTCCTTGTATTTGCACTCTAATTTTCGATAATAGCTCGTCGAATGAGGGGACAGTTATTCAAAAATAATTAAAAAACTTATTTCCATCATTCCTCAACTGTAAAAATAAGTGTAAAATGCTCCATGGAGCTGTCTGTTCTCCAGAATCGGATGCACCTAAATACTTCGACGGTGTTTTCTCTTCCCTCTGTGGTGGATCAAACACAGCAAGGCCAACTTTTGAGGTCTTGACAGCACCGTTTCTAAGACACAACTGATTCAGAGTTCATTGCACTCTTTATTGTCACCGGCTCCGGCGAAATAGTTTTCGCCGGGACAAGTCAGTTCTGACCCTCATCGTCCGACGGGTTTCGCCGGTAAAGGTACGCGCGCACTGCGCCGTCACGGCCGTCACGGCCGTCACCGCCGTCACCGCCTTTTTCAGGGGTGGTGCGCGCACTGCGACGGCACGGCCGGCCGTCACAGCATTTTGGACTGATGTATTTTGCAGTTGAGTTGTTTTGCTGTGAGCAGTGAGAGTGTGGGAGCTATGGATATTGAAGAAGACGTGGTGGTAGTTGGATTAATTGTAGGAGAAGAGGAAGAGGAGAGGAAGAGGAAGAGGAAAGCGAGATTTTGGATACATAATATAAATAGAAAACGACTAGGTTTTGGTGAATTTCACACATTATTCCCCGATCTTGTAGAGGACGATGACAAATTTTTCCAGTACTTTAGGATGCCCCATGAAAAGTTCGAATGTCTACTTCGATACCTAGAGGAGAGTCTTTAGCCCCGCGCGCACTACGCCGTCACGGCCGTCACGGCCGGCCTTTTCCAAAAGTCGTTCCCATGTAATGTAATGGAGGTGCGCGCACTAGGACGGCACGGCCGTCACGGACGCCACCGCCGCCACCGACGTCTGTCAGAAAGTTCGGAGGAGCGAATCTCAGGACAATTCCGTGGCGTCCGTGACGTCCGTGCTGTCCCAGTGCGCGCACCCCACGGCACGGACGTCACAGACGCGACGGACGCCAAGGAATTTTTGTAAAACTACAGCAGTAGAAATACGCTAGTGCTCGGAGATGGATGTTTCCAAACTCATCATCCTCGTTGAGAAGTATCAAGAGCTGTATGATATGCGGCATCCGCACTACTTTAATTCTGTGCGAAAAGAGAACATTTGGGAAGAGATCGGAGCATCTCTAAACGAGTCAGGTAAGTTTAGAGAATGAATAGTTTAACATATACTTATGTTTTGTAAACATGTTTATATTTAAAACAAAGCACACATAATTTAATTTTATTTCAATGGTTTAACAAATGGTCAGATGTAAACAAAACTACGACTTACAACACGTAAATATATATACTGGCATTTTATTAAGTGGTATATATTTGCATATATTAAATGGAGTTTTCCATTTTCCATCCTTTATATATATTTACAGTCAGAAGTGTTAACAGTGTAAAAGTTAATATATGTTTAAGTGTTGTAAGTCGTAGTTTTATTTACATCCAGTGAAGATAACAACACGTAAAAATGTGATGTAATTCAGAGATAATGCATAAACTTTTAAAGCTTTAATATATTTTATAACTTACTATAATTTTACTAACAAACCTTTTACTACGTTTATAAGATAGAAGTCAAAACAATTTTAAAGTTTAATTTATATAGTTAATCATTTTAAGGTTTAATCATTACATAGTTATTTTCCCTATAAATAAATGTCACTTCCCCTGATACCTTTTCCTACATTTCTTGGCTGCACTAAAACTATAAAACCATAAACTATGACCTATGTTTATTTTCATAGTGGTTTTGGCATGGAATTCTCGTTTGTACGAGTATAGTATGTTAAAGTCCTAGCATGAAAAGTACCTTAACAACTTTAACAAGTTTGAGTTTTTTCTTGACGAGTAAAATGTTGCAATACAAGTCTAATAACCAATCACAAGCTACCATTTATATGAATAACTGAAAGATGTTAAAATGTATTCAATATCGATTAATACAACACAAACATAACATTCAATACAACATTAATTTGTTCTTTGTAGTGTTTGCGGAATGATTAATAAAATACAACACAAAAGTACGACAATATCAACCAAAAACACACTGGGAGTAAAGTGATTTCAATTGTTTTGGATAGGCGATAAGGCATTGTATGTATGTGTATGCGCGTGCGTGAGACAGACACGACTAGACAGGATCCCTTATCAGCTCATTATCATTTATTGTTGCAGCTGCTTGTTGTTTTTTTTACGATTTCAGTCGACAACGCTCGCCCGCTCCCAATAAATGTAATTTTTGTTAACAACAGACGACCTTAGTTGTCATAAAATGTCTATATAGATTTTTCATCGTACTGGCGCTGTATGATTTTGACTCTAACGACTAAATTGAAGATCCAAATTTCGACGAATAATTTAATTACTATTTTACAAAACCTTTTAATTGAATGGTTAGTATAATACTTCTGCCCCTTAAAATCGTGTTTGGCATATACTTAGAGGTAAAAGAATAACATCTTATAAAACAAAAACAGTAATTTAATGTAATTGTAGTGTATATTTTTCTTGTATAATGATGTATGGGTGTTAAACTTTAGAGAAAATACATGTTATATGGTTAAACCAGGAAAAAAGATTAGTAATGGAAATTGGCAAAATAGGGAATTAAAATATTGAAAACAGAAATATATCTTTCAGCTTTATTACACTGTACATAGTCTACCTCACCCAAAACGAACAGATACAAGACACAAGTGAAGGTAATATGACAAATGAGCTGTTTGTATTTTGACCACTAAACATGGCGTTAAAAAAATGCTTTTATGTGTTTCCCTTAAAAGTTAGGATGTCTCTTTTAAACATTTCTCTTTCCTGCTTGAGCTTTTTCCTTTTGCCACTTAACTGATCCAATCTCGGAGTTGAAATAGTCTTTAAATATGTTTCGAACTGCAATAGCCTCATGACCAGACAAACCACCAGTGCCTTTCATTGGGGAAAATGACTTAGCATCTGAAACTGTTATCTGTAAATCCTTTTCCGTCCAATAACACGAGTCTTTCTTTAAGTAGTTATGCAGGCAACAACATGCAAGAATCACATTGACTAGATTATCTTGAGAAAGAGCTAGTCTCCTTTCAAAGATTCGAAACCTGCGAACCAAAATGCCAAATGCATTTTCCACCACGTTCCTTGCACGACTAATGCGGTAGTTGCAAATCTTTTCTTCTACCTTTCCATGAACATCATCTCTTGAGTACGGTCGCATGATATTTGTTCGGAGTGGAAAGGCTTCGTCTCCAATAATAACATGAGGAAGATATACGTTAGTTCCAGGTAATTCCTTTGCAGGAGGAATATTTAATGTTCCATCTTGTAATTTCTTTCCCAACTCTGACGAATTGAAAATACCTGCATCAGAGTTTTTACCATAACCACCAACGTCAATGAAAATGAATTTTTTCTCTGCATCCACTAATGCCATTAACACTACGCTAAAAACTTTCTTGTAGCAGAAAAAGTCAGCTCCACTGTTGTGCGGTGCTTCAATCACAACATGCTTTCCATCAAGAGCACCAATGGCGTTTGGAAAGTTCCATCTTTTATAAAATCCTTTTTCAATTTCTTTCCACATGTTTTCGGTAGGTTCTGGCATCACAAGTGGTTGTAGAACTCTCCATAAAGCTTCACAAGTTGTATGAACAATTTCTCTTATTGTCGTTAGGCCCATTCTGAAAGTGAATGCCATAGAGCGGAAAGACATACCGGTCGCAAGAAACCTAAAAAACAAAGTTAGTATTACATTTATTGTTTGCAAAATTAAAACATTTACTAGTTTAAAATCATTAGCTTTTGGGGTTTGAATCGTCTCGCTTGTTTCAGGTGCTGAATGCAAAGAAAGGTGGGCAAAAATTAGAGACGGTCACAGGAAGGCTCTTCAACGCCGAAAAACAAAAAGTGGCCAAGGAGCAAAGAATATGAAACCACCAAAATATGAGCAAGAACTAAAATTCCTCATACCTTACATTTCAGATAGTGACAATCGTCAATCAAACTTTGCCCCCAATAATCAAAATGAGGAAGAAGGTGTCGAAACTGGAGAAGAGGAGTGTAATTTAGTAGAGCGTGAAAGTCCATTGGTCCTGGGATCGCCGCACCTGTCACCGACGCACTCATCAAACCAAGCTGCAGATGATTTTCAAGACTCATCAGCACTTTCTTCACCAGCACCACCTTATTTAAACAAGTCAAACAAGCATCCCCAGAAAAGAAACAGGTCAGGGACACCAGTACGCGAAAAAACAGCAGCCAGTGTTCTACAAGAATTCTTGTCATCTAAACAAACAGCTGCGCAAGCGCCTCCACAGTGCAGCCCGTTGGAATCATTTTTCATTTCAATCGCAAACACTGTCAAAGGGTTTCCTATACGTGACCAAATAGAAATCAAGAAAAAGATTTTCCAACTAGTCTCAGACAAGGAAATGGATATTGCCCTCAGAATGAGTGATGAGGCGCCAAAATCGGGAACACCACAACACCAAACACCACAACACCAAACAACACAACACCAAACATTAGTGCAGAAGACTGGCCAATTTCCCACAGCTCTCTCCGTAGTTAACGAAGATCCCAACACATTAAAGAATTATTATTCATGGGGATGGCAAGACTTCCAGAAGTAAAGAAAATAATACCGGTACGTAATTAAATACAGTACAGTTTGATTTTTCTTACTTTGTTTTTTATTGTATTTTTAAAATGTTTTACTTAATAATATTGACAATCGATGATTAGCTAGTTTTTTAATATAAAACTAAAATTAATACACATCTACAAGCTTTTAATAAAAATGGTTTCTATCTTGTATGATTCACAATAACGTAATGTTTAGTTTTTTATGGTTTGACTTGAAAATAAAACTTTTGCTGTTCAGTATACCAGTTTAATTAACTGTACTGATTAATAGATAAGTGTGATTTTTATTATTACTTTGTTTACATTTTTGTAGTCTATTTAAAAATGTATTACTTAATAATATTGACAATCGATGATTACCCATTTTTTTCATATTAAAACTACAATTACATATCTACAAGCTTTTAGTAAAATGCATTCTCTATTATATGTTTTATAATTATGGTAAGGTTTATGAAATAAAACTTTTGCCATTCAGTGTACCGGTTTAGTTAAATAATTGTACTGATTATTAGATAAAGTGTGATTGTTATCATAACATTGTTTACATTATTGTAGTCTATTAAAAAATGTATTACTTAACAATATTGACAATCGATGATTCACTATTTTTCAAATTTAAACTTAAATTACACATCTATAAGTTTTTAGTAAATTACATTCTATATTATATAATTTTTAAGTATATAATGTTTCGTATTTTTGTGGTTTGATTTCAAAATAAAATTTTGCCGTAAAATAATTGTGTTTTTTATTTTTTAGCTTAACCTGTAGTAATATTCAAAATTTAAAGTCATATAACGTAGATAAACCGTCAGAGTATTAGCTTCCACAATTTTGGAGCTTAGTAGTTGTGAATTTAACTTTCAATTATTAATACGAGATAGCTTATTTTAATATATAAACTTCTTACATTGTTTTTATTTCACTAGTACTTGCCTTAGACAAACAGCTAATCGTTCCTTCGGTTTGACTGGACATCGGAACTTTGTATCATGTCTAAAAAGACTCTCCTCTAGGTATCGAAGTAGACATTCGAACTTTTCATGGGTCATCCTAAAGTACTGGAAAAATTTGTCATCGTCCTCTACAAGATCGGGGAATAATGTGTGAAATTCACCAAAACCTAGTCGTTTTCTATTTATATTATGTATCCAAAATCTCGCTTTCCTCTTCCTCTTCCTCTCCTCTTCCTCTTCCTCTTCTCCAAAAATTAATCCAACTACTACCACGTCTTCGTCGATATCCATAGCTCCCACACTCTCACTGCTCACAGCAAAACAACTCAACTGCAAAATACATCAGTCCAAAATGCTGTGACGGCCGTGACGGCCGGCCGTGCCGTCGTAGTGCGCGCACCCCCCCTGAAAAAGGCGGTGACGGCGGTGACGGCCGTGACGGCGTAGTGCGCGCGTACCTTTTCTAGACGTCTTTCTGTGACGTCCGTGCCGTGGGGTGCGCGCACTGGGACAGCACGGACGTCACGGACGCCGCGGAATTGTCCTGAGATTCGCTCCTCCGAACTTTCTGACAGACGTCGGTGGCGGCGGTGGCGTCCGTGACGGCCGTGCCGTCCTAGTGCGCGCACCTCCATTACATTACATGGGAACGACTTTTGGAAAAGGCCGGCCGTGACGGCCGTGCCGGCCGTGACGGCGCAGTGCGCGCGGGGCTTAAGTGTGTCCCTGGTCTAACTTCTACTGTTGACGTCCTGTGGAACATGGTAGTACGAGTTGTTTAAGTCCAAAACTGTATAAATGGAAGCCCTACTAAGGTAATTTTGAAAGAGCTCCTATTTTTTTGGTTCTCCTATTGGATGCTCCACGTGTTCTACCTTCGAATTGAACTCCTTATAGTTTGCCACTAGCCTATGTCCCTCCCTCCCCGGTACTGACAAGGAAGCTCTGAGACACTCTTACTTATTTTATTTACTATATTAAGCTACCCTAAAACATAGAGGGATCCAAACCATTCACAAGTCGGTTTCCCTGCACTACTCCTGGCTAAGAAACATCATTTTGCTTTTCCTCCACTAAAGGTTTCCTTTTTCATATTTTAGATTAACATGTTAAAGTTTTCTTATTTTTGGAGGATGTAAAATAGCACACATATTATAGCTGATGGGATAAAGTAAAAAAAATTGTGTTTCAGGGAATTAACAACCTAAATGTGTGAATGCACTAACGTTAGAACTTCATTCAGTTTCAGTATTGCAACTTTAATCAGCCGGGGCAGTAAAATTGATGAAGTTTTATTAAAAAATAACCAATAACACTTAAAATTGCCTCTAAGTGAAACTATTTGGAAAACTAAAGCTTCTGTGGCAATTTCCTCCTCATTTTCTATTTTAAACTCTCCAATATCTACATATCCTTCGTTTTCCCCCAATTCTCATTATAAATGATTTGTTTTCTTTTACTCATTGGGTCAAATATTAAACTTACGTTTTGCAAGTGTTTCTGGTCTTTTTAATTATTTTTTAAATAATTAAACACTTCTTCCAAAAACCCAGGTCTACAATTAATTGAGGAGGAAGGTGCAAAAGGGGCTTATACGACTATAAGCCCTTTTAGAGGAGAACGTTTAAATGATTCTCTGGCCTGTTTTGTACACAATGGTGAAGTTTCATAGTGATATATATTTTTTGGAAATTGGTACAGCTGTTTTTGTAAACCCTTTTATAAGCCCTTTTAGCATTGAACAGCTCGCACGATTTTTATTTCAGCTGCAGTTTTTTAATACGGACAAAATGAGAGTTTAAAAATTAGAAATTATTAAAAAAAATTATTGTATGCCTAAAACAAAAACAAATATATAGTTAATTTTTTAATTAAACTGTCATAACCTAACCTAACTAACCAAACTTGCTGATAATGACAAAATTGAATGAAGGTTTACTAATCGAAAAAAAGTTCTGTTCATAAAATAAAACTAAAAATAGCTCAAATTCAATTTTATAAGGTTTTAATTATAAAATTTAACTGTTATAACCTAACAAAACTAACCAAACTTGCTGATAATGCAAAAATCTTAGACAAAAAGTTTGTGCCCCCGATGGGTTTCGAACCTGGTACCATAAGTTTCGAAGCCCGGCACGCTATCTACTAGACTACCGAGGCCGATGGCTTCATTCCGTTTCATTGCGCTAATGGTGTTCCCTCAGCCAATAGAATGCTCTCATTTTGTTCTTATTAAAATAACTGCAGCTGAAATAAAAATTGTGCGAACAGCACGTAACCATGCTTTTCTCTACAACATAGCCTTATTTTGAGGTTATACAATTTGGTAATAGTGTCTATACACTTTTTAAGTAGTTGGAAGGTTTTTTAACGATTATTAGTAGTATTCTAGTTTTAGAATGAGTGGTGAAGGTGAATTAGAAACTTCTGTGAAAGGAGCAAAGGGCTCAACAAAGACATATGTAAGAGAAACATTGCCAAAAGAAGAAGTACTTTAAGCCTAGACTACATAGCTGTAGGTTCAAAGAATCAAGTCCCAGGTAAAACGTTTATAATGATTAAGAAATGTTGCTCTATGGAGTGTTTTAAACAATTTGAGTAAAATGACCAGAAAGATTTATTCAAACTCTTTTTACTCACATCTGACAAAAGAAGCCAGAAGGTCATATAAATCTTGTCGAGTTTGCAATTTGTTTAATTTGTTAATTTGTTACAATAAATATCACAAATTGTTTATCTGTGATTGACGATCACATTTTATGTTTGTAAGTAAAGATTTGTATGCATTACTGTTACTGAATTGTTGTATTTTGTATGTCACGTTAATCCTCAAATCAGTTAATCATAAGATTGTGAAAAGAGGAGATTCTAGAAAAAAACATTGCAATGTCCGCGGTTGAAGGCTAGGAAATTACGGATCACAAGGATACACTACCAGTTCGACTATTTATATGATTAAAGAGTGACATAACTTTTGGAGTAATAGGCTTATCCGAAACTTAGTTTATAACAGCCTTGATAAATACATTTTGTCTGGTTTTCTAAATACAAAAAAGAAGTAACATTAATTATTTTATCAGTATTCCAAAATTTTTACAACTTTAGCAGTTCAAATATTTAAAGGATTCATTATCTATTTTATTGTCACTTTTCAAGATTCAAAAGTCACACAGAGGTATCTATTAAAGCAATAAAGGTATTAATTGTTTAGAAGTGTTAATATTAAGATCAAGAAGGTGATTGGAGGAGGACCATTATCAGATCTCTCACGATCCCCAAGCAGACTTCTGAGGTAATTAGATTATACTGGCCCACACTCATAACATCAAATTCCACTGCGCTGGCTCTGTGTAATTAATGTCCTCATAAGTCATATATTAAATTAAATTCAATTCATTCAAATCCCACCAGAGGGCAACTTTTTGTATTTTCACACCTTTATGGAATATTAAATTATATTCTATATAGGTGTGAATAAATTTGCATTTGAAGAGATCAATAAATTAATAGTAAAGATCTGTTTTCTTCTTTACACAACGAAGAAGAAGAAATGGGCAAAAAGAACAAGAAAAGAAAACACAAGAAAAAGAACAATACAAATGTAAAAAAAAACATACCTCTTGTCGAGTTTGCAGAAACCTTGCATAATAAAAACAACAATAATAGCAAAACTCAAACTGGAGAACAATTCTTTTTTAGGACAAGTGAGATATGAAGAAGGGTTCGACATCCGTAATATTCGGAAGACCCTTTTTTGTTGCAAAACTACATACTACAGTGGAAATACACATAGACAGCACGTTCTCCATCCAACTGTCCAGCCAACTGTACTGCCATCAAGGCAACTTCTAACCGTTATGGAGATGCACTTCAACAAACAAAGTGAGTAAACATTACGATGTCATAACTGGTAAATGTTCAACAGTCATAAGTATTTTGCAATTACAATAAGGCATATAGTAGGCCCACTGATACTTGTATTTTTATTTGTAGAGTTCCTGTTGAAGTTTCCAGTCTGCTTGCTTTCA